CCTTAATTAACTTTAAATAATATCTGTGTTGAGTCGATTAAATTATTCGATTCTTCGCGATAGGTTTTAGCTTGGTAAAATTCGATGAGATTAAAATTTTCGAAAACGAAATTTCCATCGACTCGACGACGTCCAACGATCAGCCAGTTAAGTGTTGAAGATCCAATACTTTTTATTCAGTCGGAAGATTACAGAGGCTGGCTAACATCGGAGCATGTAACGACGCGGCGTTTTTAATTTGGTATTAGGCTTTTATTTTACACGACAAAGATATTCGGTTTTTAAGGCTTGCAATCACTTTCCTCTTTGATCTCTAAGTTACATTGTTTTTCTCGATCTTCTTCTTAACACTGGAACTACCAAAACGGTCAAAATGACCAATTATAATTTTTTAGAGTAATTTCGTGGATTCACAATGTTACATTTTTCAGAAATTCGAGTGGTTTTTGTAAAATATATGAATAAAAGCTCGTATTATAAATCTTTTCCTACTCCTTCTATTCTAATTCTTTTGACTCAATTTTTGTACATTGGTCTGCCGATAGTTCCAGTGTTAATGCGGTCCATATACATATATACATACGAGGCAAGTAGTTCAATACTGGGACAATAGAATATCGCGCATCCATCCACGTGTGTACATATTATATGATTTACATTGATATTCCCAACATTATCAATTATCACGGAATGTGGTCGGCAAACATTTTCACCAAGCCCCAATCTCTATCAAGCATCATGCAACGAATCAACTCTCGAGAAATCGAGCATTCGATCGAACATTGAAACGTGTTACTGTCATCGAAAACTTCAACGAGCCGATCTAACGATACGTTGAAGGAAAAAACTGAATTCAATAGGACTGAAGGCACAACAAGAGGCGAAAAGAAAGGAAAATTCTCTACGAACCGCTGTAACGTAGCCACTTGGTTGGATCGATTTCTCTGCAACTTGTTGCTGCATCGTTCATCGGAACGTCGCGCGTTGCATCGAACTGATCCACTTCAATTAATCTCGATGGTTCTAACAGAAGCAAACGCAGGCGCAACGTAGAGCGCCAGGCTCCAGACCGTTCAAATCATGTCGGTTATTATTTATGCGTCCTTCAACGTGATTTACGACCGGTTGCATTTTCCATGGTTAGCGTCCCGACGTGAATTCATCGTCCTTAAGTTGATAATCTACCCGGCTCGCTTTTGTTATTATAACCGTGATAAATGGCGCGCGTTGATGATGCAACAACGAACATTTGCGAAAACTGCGAAGTTCTAGAAAAATTTGACGAAATGTGTACTCACCGAAGTTAGATGGATTAAGATTAAACAGTGACTTATAGTAGTATAGTTCTTGTAAATATTTCCTTGTATGCGAAAGAAATGTTGAAACAACGAGAAAAGTATGAAACAAATTCACGAATGATTTCATATCATTATTGAAAACAGAATTTAGTGGTGTGAATTGATAAATGATGCACAGATATAGACGAAACGATATATTGAGGAGTTGAACTGATCTCATTATCTATAATTTTTGATGACAGAAGTGGATACAGTCTTTTCTATTTGTTTGAAATACGATTCCACGTATTCGCCAATTTGCAAATTTAATTTATTCAACGCGAAGTAAAGTAACTTCTTGTTATGATATATCTGCGTGTAATTGAAGCGATTCGGTAATTCCGAAAACCTTTGTCCGAGACTATCGGTCTTGAATAATCCTACAGGTTGCAACCACACTAAATCACTTTACAGTACCTGCTTCAACTTGTCTCAAAAATTAGCCACGTGTAGAGTTTATTCAATTTTATTTTCTCGGGGGATTAAACTTGCCGAGCAATTTCTTGCAGAATTTACGTTCGATACGCTGGAACCATACGTTAAAAAGTTAAAGTTCATTAATACAGATTAAAATTAAAGTTATTCTGTGATTTTTCATATAATTGGGACTCGTTTTATATGGGACAACGAACTCCTCTAATTTCACAATACTACGATGAAAATTTATATAAAATTCTCGATAAAATAGAATATATAATGATTTTCGTTAACTTCATCCTAATAAAAGATGTTTCAACAAGGCACGTAACGTAACGTTACGTTGAAACATATCTTCGTGGTAAAATTTTGATAAAATTCAGACACAGTGTGAGTAACATTCTGTCGAAAAAGTTTTTCTCTCCTCCTCTTCCCTCCTCGAAAACAAAAACAAAAAAAATGTTCGACCTACATATCGTACACGTGAAGTTTCAGCCTAGCAAACGGTGCAATTAAAAAAGAAATTAATTAGACGATAAGAACCGAGGTTGGAGCGAGGTTGGTCACGAATTCGATGGTAACGGTACACACGACGGCGTAGGTGGACGTCCTTGATCTTGGCGATAGTAATCAGGACCTCGGCCACCGGCTGTTGTCTCGTTGTTCGCCGGTATAACCCTAGCTGCGGCGGTCTGATTGGGCCGAGACAGAACTGGATTACAGGACCGGTCCCCTGGAGTCACGTGTCGATGACTTCAGCAGGAATCGATGACCGAAGAAGTCACTAGCCTGCCATCGATTACTGATTAGGGGAGAACCGCGTGTTGCCCGGGCGTTTTTCACGCCTCTTCATCAACTCGTCTTCCACGTCTGTTGATTTCGTTCGGAATTTTGCTTGTAACTCATGTAACTCACAAAATGTACAATCTCGGTTACACGAATTTACGACCGTAACGAACGTTTCTCGCTCCTCTACTTCGAGCATTATTTTCGTTAATAAAATCGAGAACAAAGTCGTCTGGTAAGAATTGTTGCGTTCCAGTTAGTACAGAATTTCATTTAAGAATAGAAAAGTTTTTCTCCCTATTTTCTTAAATGAAATAGCTCAGAATATAACTAATTTTATTACTTTGAAGTTAACTTTTTAAAAGATCTGTGAAAAAAGAATTAAAAAGAATATATAATAAAACAAATTACGAATTTATTTCGAGAGAGAAAGTGACTTTTGACCCACCCCGGAGAAAATATATTAAAGAAAATATAACGTGATTACTTGAATCGATGATAAATAAATGAATTTTTAGTTAGGTTTATAATATGCTCAATAAAAAACGTAACTACGTTTCCACTTTTACTTTGATTTAAGTAAATTACTCGGATCAGGCTTGATATGATAAACTTTAGAATTTAAATTGAAACTCTTAAGATATTCACCAGAGGTTCTCGGGAGTTTAACTTAAGGATAAGCAAATAACTTACTGTAATATATTAAATAATGAGTCACCTGCAGCGAGTTCAATCAGAAAACGACGCTGCACAATGACCATAATCTTGGCTGGCTAGAGCTAAGAATGATCGTCGTCGCTATTAATTCATGCGTGGAGCCGATTGTTGCACGATTACAATAATATATCTGATCGTATTCCACGTATCTGATCATGCAAAATATCGTCGCTGATTAACATTCGTCGACGTATCGAGCTTATTTCCTCGCCTTTACGCGCGGTGTCTCGTGTCGAAGTCGGGCCCAAGGCGTTTTCTCATTACCGGCTAGAAAGATATCGCTCGTATGCGCCTCCACGATTGCGGTGAAACTTTATTTCAGCCCGGAGCAACGCGCGAAGGATCGCGATAAATCCTTGGATTAATCGCGGCCAGCGGAACATCCGCCTCGCGTCGTGACGTCGTCTTCGTTTCTTTTCCCGCTTCATTTCGTCGTATCTCAGATATTCTTCAGAGTCACATCACGTCGAGCGCGAAATTTAAATGACGCTGCATCGAGTTCGATTTCATAGATTACACCTCAAGCACTTGGTAGTATACTTGGTAGTATACTTGGTTCCGATACGAAGAGATTACCGAAGAGAAGGATAGTTAGAGAAATTGTCTTTGCGTTTGATTTTGAAGCTGAACAATTGCATGTTTACGACTCTCGAAACATAATATTTCTTATTAGTCAGTTTCGTCAATTTTTCGGAAGACATTTTCGAACCTGAACAAGTTCTGGTTCTGGTTTTCAATTATGACAAGTGAAAGAAATTTTTCATTTTCACTGTAAAAACGCACCAGAACCGTTAACCGATCGTATCGGAAATATCCAGCCAGTGCCTGTCGAAGGACATTTTAAAAATGGCACTTGCGTCGTGCTGTAAATCGATTGCTTAAATTTCCCTAAATAGCACTTCCAATACCAACCTCATAACGTTCAACAAATTGCACGGTGCTCTCTTGCAATGCTCAACAATGAAACGTAAAATTTCCCAGTTGAACGCGTTTCCCTTTCGCGGCGCGTTCGCCGTCGGTAATAACACGGTTTTCTATAAAATCCGTTCCCCTGGGAGCATAAACGGGGGTACGAAAGCAGGTACTCATTACAGGTCGTTCGATGGGTATTTTTGCCGGCGCGTAGGCGTCGCGTAGCCCGAAGGACGCGACAGTGCACCGCGATGGTACGAGCGGAGAACGCGAAACCACGATGCAACCCAGTGTGCGTACAGGCCCCCACTATGGGACGATCCGTTACTCAAGGCGTCTCAATAGACCTCGACAGGGGTGAAAGGAAGAAATGGCGAAAAAGCAGCTAGATCCGATCAATGATTTACACGCGCCAGTTTCAACGTCTTCTCTGTACGTACCGAGCTGATTCAGAGCGATCGAGTCGTCGCTTGAGTACAGACTGCTGACAATACTTTTACCCGATGTTGCGCGAAAGATAGCAAGTTTTCGTGTTGGAATTTCTTTCTGTGTGAAGAAGCACAGTTTTCTCGAATTTTGGGCGATCGTGAGTCAATCTCAGCTTTACGAATAAATTATCGAACGTGTTATAAAAATTGTAAATTGTAAAATTGTGCAGCTGAGACAAACCTCGTAGAACTAGTGATAACCGGCCACTTAGGATTCAGATTCTGCAACGAGGAATTAAAAATTCCACCATTTACTCTAGCTAGGTTAAATAAATAGTTTCCATGAGTTTCGGGCTAATTTCTGAATAAATTACTGGACGTGCTATAAAAATTATAAACTCACCATGCGTCATTCTAGTTGCAATACTATTCGTAGGACTGGTACTTAGCCACCTAGGATTCAGATTCTGTAACGAGGAATTAAAAATTCCATCATTTACTCTAGCTAGGTTTAAATAACATTGTAGTTTCGACGAGTTTCGGGCTAATTTCTGAATAAATTACTGTACGTGCTATAAAAATATAAACTCACCATGCGTCATTCTAGTTGCAAGACTATTCGTAGGACTGGTACTTGGTCGCTTAGGATTCAGATTCTGCAACGAGGAATTAAAAATTCCATCATTTACTCTAGCTAGGTTTAAATAACATTGTAGTTGCCACGAGTTTCGGGCTAATTTCTGAATAAATTACTGTACGTGCTATAAAAATTATAAACTCACCATGCGTCATTCTAGTTGCAAGACTATTCGTAGGACTGGTACTTGGTCGCTTAGGATTCAGATTCTGCAA